TGGCCCCGGGGCGCGGTGGCAAGTGGAGGGTGACACGAGGTGGTGGCCCCGGGGCACGGTGGTAAGTGGAGGGTGACCCGGGGTGGTGGTAAGTGGAGGGTGACCTGGGGTGGTGGCCCCGGGGCACGGTGGTAAGTGGAGGTGTTGGCCCCAGCGTGTGTCTCTCATGTATTACACACCTCCGTACCACAGACACCACTCTCCCCCTAACCACCAAAAGTCTTACGTACCGTTTCTACACCCGCGTGGTCGTTTGACAGCATCATTCCCAGACGCCTCGACGACGCATCCAGAGATTCGGAATCCAAATGAATCCCGTCCTGTCCAGGGACCACCATCATTATCATTTACGTCCTTCGTATTCTCGGGTTTCAAATCATAAACAAAAATGGCGGCGGGAGTAAAAATAGTAAAAAAAATACTCTATTACAAATAAATATTCTGTATTCAAATGTGATTTAAGTAAAAGTACAAGAGTATTAGCATCAAATCATACTTAGAGTACTAGAAGTAGAAGTACTCATTATGCAGACTATGTATATCATTCTAGTGGATTGTAATTACTGATGCATTATTGTGCACATCACATTTAATGTTGCAGCTGGTAAAGAGGGAGTTAATGTTAACTACCTTGGAACATGAATTACTGCTGAGTAGCTTGTGAATTTCCCACCAGGGATCAATAAAGTCTTATAATATACTGTATTTTTGTATTAATGTATTGTATTACGAATTAATCTGACAATAATTAATAGCTAAAGTTATAAAATAGATGCAGTGGAGTAAAAAAGTACAATATTTGCCTCTAAACTGTAGTGAAGGCAAAGTATGAGGCAGCAGAGAAAGAAAATACCCAAGTGATACGTCAACATTTCACTTATACAGTACTTGAGTAAATGTATAGTTATTTGCCACCACCGGGTAATTACGTCATCTTTTGTGCTAAAAAATGTGTTTAGTTATTTAAAAATAATGAGCAGTTTCATTAGTCCATAAAAACAAAAAGAGGATTGTTACCATTAAATCTGCATCTGTGTAAATGGTGTTTATCTGGAAGCAGAATAGAGAAACAGGAAACAGACAAACAGCATGAAATAAACTACGTGTGTGTGTGTGTGTGTGTGTGTGTGTGTGTGTGTGTGAGGGAGAAAAGGGGGAGTGTGTTTGTTTATTAGCTCTACCGGTTCCTCTCCGATAGGCGGTGATAACGGGGGTGTGTACGGCGGGGGGGGGTGCAGGGGGGGGGGGGGCCCGGGCCTGGGGGCCGCAGCGACCCCGCCGGGTCGCAGTGAAACAAACATGGCGACAGAATGGAGCGGGCAGCAGGGTTACATGCTCGCTGTCGTTATCTGCCTCTGGAGCGCGGTCAGTGTCCGGACAATGGCGGAAGTGTCCGGTGCCGACGGAGGGAGCCAGGTGCTCGGAATGCGGCTGGAGAGGAGCGACAAACCGGCCAGCACCAATGACGTCGGTGTCATCCAGGTGACTGAGGAGAGCTCCGTGCTGCTCCGGTTTTACGGGGTGCAGCTCCACTCGGACGCCTGGAGCCAGATCCGCTTCACAGAGCTCACGGACGGCGGCGTGGCCCAAGAAGAGGAGGGTGAGGAAGAGGCGGTAGCTGCGGCGAGGAGCGGCAACGGCTTGTCGGACGCGCCGTACAGGACTTGTGTTGATTTCACGAAAGACATCAGCGTCGGGACCTTCATGAACGTGAGCAGTCGACGCACTTCGGGGCTCGTTACCCTGCACATTAAGCCGCTCCGCAAGAGCGAACCGCAGAAGGAGTATGCACTGTGCGCGCTGAGCGCAGACGGGAGCAGGTGGGAGCTGCTGGAGGACAGTGACGGCAGGGTGCTGGTGGTGGAGGAGAAGAAGTCGCTGCTGCCCTTGTGGCTGCAGGTCATCCTCATCTGCTGCCTGCTGGTGCTCTCGGGGATGTTCAGCGGCTTGAACCTGGGGCTGATGGCGCTGGACCCCATGGAGCTGCGCATAGTCCAGAGCAGTGGGACTGAAAAAGAGAAGAAGTATGCCAGGAAAATAGAACCAATCCGCAGCAAAGGGAACTATCTTCTCTGCTCTCTTCTTCTGGGCAACGTCTTGGTGAACACCACCCTCACCATCCTCATCGATGACCTCATCGGGTCAGGGCTGGGCGCAGTGGTGGCCTCTACCATTGCCATCGTCATCTTTGGAGAGATTGTTCCCCAGGCGCTGTGCTCCCGCCACGGGCTGGCCGTGGGAGCCAACACCATCCTGGTCACCAAGTTCTTCATGCTCCTCACCTTCCCCATGTCCTTCCCCGTCAGCAAGCTGCTGGACTGCTTGCTGGGCCAGGAGATAGGCAACGTGTACAACAGGGAGAAGCTGTTAGAGATGCTAAGGGTGACGGAGCCCTACAATGACCTGGTTAAAGAAGAACTTAACATGATCCAGGGTGCCCTGGAGCTCCGGACGAAAACCGTAGAGGATGTGATGACGCCCCTGGCCGACTGCTTCATGATCCAGGCAGACGCGGTGCTGGATTTCAACACCATGTCTGAGATCATGGAGAGCGGGTACACCCGTATACCTGTGTATGACGACGAGCGCACTAACATCATGGACATCCTGTACGTGAAGGACCTGGCGTTTGTGGATCCAGATGACTGCACCTCCCTAAAGACAATCACTAAATTTTACAATCACCCCGTGCACTTTGTGTTTCATGACACAAAGCTGGATGCCATGCTGGAGGAGTTCAAAAAAGGTGTGTCAGCAGGTGTTTGTGTGTGTGTGTGTGTGTGTGTGTCCTTATGTGGGGGTGTTGCAGAGAAACCAGCTGCTGTCGAGTTTGTTTGCTGCAAAAAGCTGCAGCCACACAGAGCAGCCCGCCCTCCCCAGGCTCTGTGTGCATCGATCAGTGGAACATTTCAGCACAAAGAACAGCCAGTGAGACACATCACTCACTGCAGGTCTGAAGCAAATGTATGAAGCGCTCGAGATCACACTGAGATTTACAGTAAAGGTTTATCCTGTAAAAAGGCCATGAATGTCATGGTTCCGTGTTCTCAGCTGTAGGAATTTGATGCTTTTCTTGGTCTCATATGACAGTAAATTGATATATATGTATTTTCTTTATTGTACTGGTGTTTTATGGACCAGACTATTCATTCATTAATTGTTCCTACTACTACTTTGTGTGTACGAGCCCAAACCAGAAGTGTATTCACACGTCTCAGCCAAAGGTTAAAATAAAACCATTAAATCTGAGTAGAGAGGGAGTGAAGATGAGGCCAGTGGCTCGTTCTGACTGTTGTCCTGTGGCGAGATGATTCTGAAACCAGTGAGGCGACGGTTAAACCTCTGACTTATTTATTTATTTAAAACGTTTGCAGGCAGAAGAGAAGACACAATAACAACACAATCAGCTCAGGCTGCTTATTTTAGAGTTGCAATAATTAGTCAATCAGTGTTTGGGGTTACAGATAACGTATGCATGTGGAGTCTTCCTCATTCTGCGGCTAGCCAGCGTTCTCACTCTCAGTTAATCCACAATCGATTGTTTGGTTTCTGTTTGTCAGGACATTGTGACAAATGGCCGTCACATGTTCTCGGGGTCAAGGCGGCTTCTTCAGACGTCTGACCGTCAGTGTAAAACTCGAAGATGTTCAGTTTCCACTTACTGAAGACAGAAAACCAGAGAATACTCACATTTCAGACACTGGAACCAAAGGGTCTTTTAACGTTTTGCTTCCAAATGACAAAAATAATCAATTATGATTGATTATTGGTGATTGCTTTGCAGTCGGTTGGTTAATGGGCTGCTTATTTCAGCTCAGGCTCTGTCATCACCCACTGCACGGCTTGGTTTTGTTTGGTGTCAGTCGGTCAGTAAACAAAGAGACAGTATCATCATTTGAACAAACCTTAAAAAGCCCTGTCGTGGACGTGTGATGTCACGGTGTCGACCCGCCGTCGCTGTCACCGCGGAGTGTGGGCCGATGAAGTGGCCACGTCAGGAGCTCAAAGTCTGGCAGCGGATTTCACTGATGGTCCCCCTCAGCAGGGACTAATGAGTGAAATCAGCTGCTGTGTTTTCTGTGGTGGGATGAACGTGCACATTCAGGCCCTCAGGATTAGCTGCTCTCTCGTCTGTGGACCCTGTTAGTCTTATGGACGACTGGATACCTGAACCTCCTCAAGAGCTGTTTAATAATCTGATCAACTGGTGCGAGGTCTTTGTTTAAAGGCTCACAAGCCAAAAAAGTGGGAACCGGCTGAATATGTGTTTCACCAGCTGATGCGTTAATGGATCAGCAGTTGTCTCAGACTGACCGGGATGTCTCTGGTTACTGACCAGCGTCACCGAACAGCCTGGAATAGATCGTGTGATTGTGATGCTGAGCAGCTGGGACTGGCTGCCTCGCTGCTGTGCACCAGGCAGTGTTTCTTTCCTCTGCGCTTGGCGGCAGCAGCCTGTGCCCTGTCCGGTTTGTCTGTTGCAGACCTGTGATAGCCCACATGCACACTCGCCCTGAGCATAAGGAAACAGTCCAGTGTGTCTTTTTTAGAGGACAGATCCATCTCGTTGTTCTCAGCCTTGTCCTCCCGCTGCCTCGCCCTCACTCTCTCCTCTTTATCTGCTCTTGGCACGTCCTCCAGCTCCAAAGCTCTTAGTCCACTCTGGGCTATATTAAGGCACCGGTCTATAAATCCACTGACAGATCGAACAGAAGTGAGACTGACGCCACGCTGCCTCCAAAACAGAAAAACAAGGGAAGAGGTTTTCTGTTTGAAGGCCAGCAGCTGCAGTGAAACTCTGACTTCCCATCTCTCCCCCTTGTTTCATCATGTCCTACTTAAGAGCCAGGTTTGTGGGAATGAGTCCACAATGACCCTCAGCTGATCTCTCTCCTCTGCAGGTAAATCCCACCTGGCCATTGTCCAGAAAGTGAACAACGAGGGGGAGGGAGACCCTTTCTATGAGGTGCTGGGGTTGGTCACGCTGGAGGACGTCATTGAAGAGATCATCAAATCTGAGATCCTGGATGAATCTGACCTTTACAGTGAGTCAGCGCTTGGATTGGATACACACGCACAGATATACGCTATCAGATCTGATCCTAAGTGGCATGTATGAGTGATTAACAGACCTACTTAGAGTTTTGTCTTTAACCAGGCTGCTGGATGATTGGAGCTTGGTTGGATTTCTGGCAGGTGTGAAGCTCTGGTCTCCTGTCAGCGGCTGCGGTCAGAGACCTGGCACTGGCCTGCAGCTACTGAGTACCGGCATCCACTTTGTCTGTAAACACAAAAAGCTACGAACATGTCACTTTCCTAGAGTCCAGGTTGACATCTACATGTCTTCAGTTGTGTGAACAACAGTCCAGAACTCAAAGATCTTCAGATTACAGTGACAGAAAACAAAAGCAGAGTCCTCACGTTGGAGAAGCTGAATCTGAGAATGTTTGGCAGCTTTTGCTTAAAGGTGCAGTAACTAAGATTTCCCACACTGTCTGTTAACCCCAGAGACAGTGGGACAGGACGTGGTGTCTCCCAGCTACACCCCCCTCCATGACCCTCTGCTACTTACAGCCTCCTGTTGTTATCCCAGCTTCTCCACCCTGTGTTGTCAAAGTAGGGTCTGTAAATCAGCCCCGCCTGCCGCCTAGCCAAGGTTAGGAGAAGTGAAATGTGCACTTTGGGGTTTCTCATGAGAATGACACTACTGAAATGTTCTGTGAACATCCTCAGAGCCGCCTCCTGTAGTTTATCTGACTCTGGTGCTGCTCGCTCTCAGTTCTCCCCGCTGTTCTTTCCTCTCCCTGCAGCCGACAACAGAAACAGGAAGAAGGTGGACCCCAACAAAAACAAGCGTGACTTCTCGGCCTTCAAGCAGGACAGCGACAGTAAGGTGAAGATCTCCTCTCAGCTCATGCTGGCGGCTCATCGGTTCCTCGCCACAGGTGAGTTCTGAGGAGGCGGCGGCTATTCTCACAGCGAACAGGCGGATTTACACAGGTGCACGTTGGCCTCGGGGTGAACGTTTGATTATCCTGAATCGTCTTGTGGTGTTTTTTTAATCTTGACTTTTTTTACAGTAGATATGTGGACGTAGTATAAAATCAAACGCTCGTGTCCAGCCATGACAGGTGAACAAGATGAGCTGGGTGTGGCCGCCTTGTTGTGTGCTTTGTAAACGACACAGGGCCTGTGATGTTTTAATTCCATCTTAAATCCATTTCTGAGTAGCTACACTGACATCTTTGTTCTCTTCTGGCCCCTCCCCCTCGGTGTCACCCCCTTGCCGCCCAGAGGTGAGCCTGTTCAGCCCGTTCCAGATCACTGACAAAGTCTTACTGAGGATGCTCAAACACCCAGACGTCATCCAGGAACTCAAGTTCAACGAGAACGACAAGCGCTCGCCGCAGCACTTCCTCTACCAGATGGGCAAACCTGTCGACTACTTTGTGCTCGTTCTGCAGGTGAATGCACACAGACGCACACTGAACGTTAAAGCCACGCACAGGGAACAGTGGGTCATGGGTTTGTGTTGTGTTGCTTTAGAGATGCAACACTCCACATCATTATTTTTCAAAGCATCGAGGCTGAAATGTGTTTCTGAAGTTGATGTTACCCTTAACGTAGGGAGTTGACGGTAGCTCTGTGATGTTACAGCTCAGCGTTGGGTTTCAGTCAGCTGTGTTTTTACTCTGGGTGAATCCTAAGTCCATTATTTGATCATTCTTTGTCCCTCAAGTCGGACATGTTCTGGTTCCACCTTCTTTAACGTGAGCAGCTGATGCTTTTCTTTCTCTTCTTTGACAAAGTGACATAAGACGTGAAGACCTTTGATTGTGGAAAGTTGCAGTGGGGTTTTTCCCAGTGTCTGACATTCTGGGAATAAAGAGATCAATCACATCACTCTACAATGATCAGCTGACTGATCAGTGACCCTGCTGTTTGGATTTTCATCTGCAAATCAGGCGCATAGATACTTGTTGTGGGTGTGGCTTTGATGAGGAGCTCCTCTCTCTGCCGACACTTACTAATAGATCCTCTTTCATAAGAATTCGAGGGGGAAGAGGGGATTAAAGGGTTAAGGAGGATGTAAAAGAAGAGAGACACATGAGGAGGCAGCGAGTGGTGAGCGCTGAGAATCACACGGAGGAGAGAGAGGAGTGCAGGGATGAATGTGGAGCTGGAGGGAGGACAGCAGCAGGATGCACCGTCAGTCAGCAAATCCCTCCTCTGCACCAGGAAGAGAGGAGCAGAGCGACCGGGAGGGGACAAAGACGTGTTCACCACACATACCCTCAGTTCATTATGCATATTTGTTTACTACATAAGAAAACCACAATGCACGCCTCTCACTCATGCACTGCTTTGCATCAGTCTGATGGCGGTTTCACGTGTCAGCCTGACGTCTGAGCCCGGACACTAGTACAGTCCAGACAGCAGTGTTACCAGTTCGGACAGGAGTCAGAATTAAACTGTAGGACGGAGGCTGCAGCAGTATGGAGTAAACCTGCAGTAATGAGAGAGAGAAGCATCTGCATCATGTTCCTTCTTCTAAGATCAATGAAACAGTCGTCATCTCTTATCATAAAGAAAACAGTTTACAGGGAATGATCCAGCAGTCCTGCAGTGAATCCACCTCATGAAGGTGCTGATGTTGTGTTCAGACTGTGTCACAGAGGTGCTGGTTCACCTGTGTGACCACGGTATTTGCACACTCAGCTGTGTCTGGTATTAACCTCGCTGCATTGGACAGAAATCCAGTGTGGTTGAGTTTGATTCCTGACAGTTTGACACTGTTCGTATCACATCTGTTTGTTTTGTTGTGTCTCAGCCGGGGTCAGGGCGCGTTTAGCCAACACAGTCTGTGTAAATCTTCATATTATGGCCATCTTGTTGTGTGGAGGCTTCGCGGTCATCTGAGGACTGCAGACGCCCGGCATGCAACCTGAGCACAGCTGCTCCTGTTCCACTGCTGAGCTACACCTGTGTGTGTATCTGTATGTCCATGCATTGTGAGGACCGAGGTCAATGCTCACGGTCTGACCCAGCTCCCAAGGGCTGTTTGAAGACTTGGCTTTAGGATTGAGACCAGAATTAGGTTTACATTAGGTTTAGGGTGTGGTTGAAAAAGATCAGTTGTCATCAAAACGTTGGATTCACTGTTAGATTCCAGAAGTTTGGTGTCTGGTTCTCTTTATTATACTGATGAAGAGTTGGAGGTCGGCATTTTCTTGTTGGGGTCAAAGGCTAATTACTGTGTCCTCACAAAGATAGAAGTACAAATGTGTGCATGTGAGGTAAAGAGACACAGGACCCAGAACCAGTGCACCTGTGGCACCATGTAATATTTATAGGACGTCAGAGTTTCTGTTTCCTGCTACCAGAGGTGAGTCCTGCCTGACTCACACACACACGTGAAGTCTAAATGTGTATTAAACAAAATGTCCTCTGTGTGTGTGTGTGTGTGTGTGTGTGTGTGTTCCAGGGGCGAGTGGAGGTGGAAGCCGGAAACGAAAACATGAAGTTTGAAACGGGCCCGTTCTCCTACTATGGTGTCTCGGCTCTGGGTACACCACCACTGGGTGAGACAGCACACACACATCGGTTGCTCACAAAGCCACTGAGGTGCTGCGGCGAGGGTCGTCACATTTTTAAAAGAAAAGTCTGGCTAACCTCCTTCATCCATGCATGTCCATCAGATTCAAAGCACGTTGCACAGCTCTTCTGCAGCACACACCTCACTCGCAGGCGTCTGGTGATGGATACGTTTTGACTTAGATGACCAGAACCTCGTCAAACACGTCCTTGTCCGGCTCACTAACCAGTTTGTCACAGTCAGCCGCTGCTCTGTGTCAGTCAGTTGGTAATAAAGTTGTTTGAAGGAAGGAGGAAAAGTTGTTAGGCTGAGTCTAAACAGGGAAACATTGGACCGAGGCGACGGGCGGCGCCTGAGAAAGCGACAGTTTGACCTATGTTTTTGTCTTTGGATGGTTATTTTAAAGAGCTCCTGATGGAGCTGTGTATGGTCACGGGTCCCGTTGTGATTCTGGTTACAAACAGGGACCCCTGTTAGTCTTAGATACGTTTAGTAGTGGCGAATTGGTTTTCACTTTTCTCCCATGTCAGGAAAACAGAAAATCATGTCATTTGTTAAACGAGCTTTCGGTTTAACGAGCTTTAACACTCAGATGTATTTCAACATGTCAGGCTTTGTCTTAGAGCAGAGCTCTTCACTCAGGTCTGAGGGACCACGCTCCAAGTCGGGCCCAGATTCTGCTGGGTCTGGTCGGGTCAGGTCTGGTCTTACTGCAGCGGGTCTCGGGTCTCATTGTCAGTATGTTCAAACCTCGAGTGGATCTGAACGGAGCGTTCACAGCAGTGTCAGGTATGATTATAGGTGGGAGAGAACAAGGATACAGTATTAAAACTGAAATGTTTTTAAGACCAACAACAGAGTGCAGCGTTACACTAAACACGTATCGTAAGGGCCCTGCAGATCTTTAAACCTGTGTCTGTTTTCTAAAGGCGACTGGTTCTGACTCTGAAGGTTCTGAGTCCAACACTTGGTTTTTCTCAGAGCAGGACCCTGTTAAAGTCCCACTACCTCTTCCATGAGTCCACATTACATGCAGCCACCTTCTTTTTCCTGTAATAGACGAGAGACTCTGACATGGTTTGATTTGCTTCTCTGATGCTTTCTGCCAGCAGAGATGGAGCAGATGTGGAGGAAATGAAGTACAAGTAGTAAAGGAGGCTCACGTGCACACGGTTACATAAGAGCCTGATTTCCGTGTCCTTGATTATGCAAAGTTTACACAGAATGATGTCGGCTCGGACACAGGTTGTTACCCTTGAGGAGGAGGAGGACGTTCTGTGTGTGCCTCGTGCACTGGGGTGGTGTCAGGACACACACAGCCCTCAGGTTGTTTGGCCCGTGGTGAAGTTACAGGCTGTAGCTGTAGTGGTGACGCCTTCTGGTGTCTGAGCCTCGTAACTGCCGATAAGTTCTTGCTCACTGTCTCTGGTTCTCTCTGCTGTCTGTACTTTATGTGCAGCTCTGTGTGTGTGCATGTGCAGCATCATGTAAATGCAGTGTATATGTCGAACACTTGACCATTTGTCATCCTAAATGTCCAGTGTGTACTTTAGCTATGGGTCCCTACGGTCCAGATAATTTCCCAGACACTTTCCTCATAATCTGATAAAACTTCACTGGTTATTACCAGATGATTGAAAAGAAAGATCTACAGTTTTCTTCATGATGTTGAACTGCCACACATTACAGATCCGCTTGGTGAAAACTGATCTGACTGGTGTTTTCACTGTATGTTGGTTGAATTGCCTGGAAGTGCCTTGGTTGAGTGCTTCACTCTGATGATCTGATGATCAACAAATAAAACACGCTCCAGGCTGAAAATCAAATCAAATCAAATTTTCTTTGTATAGCGCCAAATCCCAACAAAAGTCATCTTAGGACACTTTACAAACTAAGGTCTAGACCTTACTGTTATCAATATTATTACATAGGGAAAACCCAACAAATCCCCCTTGAGCAAGCACTTGGCGACAGTGGGGAGGAAAAACTCCCTTTAACAGAAGAAACCTCCGACAGACCCCGGCTCTTGGTGGGCGGTCTTCTGCCTCGACCAGTTGGGGTGAGTGGATAGAGGAGAGAGAGAAGAA